TAATCTGAAAATTAAATACAGAGGTATTTTATATTGGGATCAAAGCAGTTAGCATAATGCCTGAGGGGAAATAATACATTTACTCCTTTATGTCAGTTAATTTGAAAATTACATCCAGAGGGGCCAAGAATTAGGAATAAACAAACTATGCAATACAAGTGAAAGTACAGAAATTTATACTAAATACTTTTTTGTGGCATGACCCTTTGCCCAGAAATACCAACTTTGCTACTACCCTACATTAACAATTTTTTGAGAATTTGTAATAATAACAATGTTTTATTAATCTTTTCATTAGTAAAATGGATGGGAGATACAATAACACACTAAATTATAAGAATTCTATTACATCAGCTGAAAGATGTGAAGAAATGTGACTTAACACTTTTAATAATGGTTGTAGAGTTGTTACTTGTAGTTCTGTTTCCACATCTTTCAATCAATTATGTCCCTTTCTCTTATGCTGCACTAGTGAGGAAAATCTAGATTTGCAAAGGTATTGAAATGTGATGCTTTATTGTTACGTAAAATGTAATAACATATAAAATACTGCTATTTTTTCTTTAAAACTTATATAAAAAATAAAATATTACTCAGAATGGTTGCATGTGACTCGCATTTGGGAAACCTTACACTAAGGGAAAGAAAGATATGTATAAAAATAAGAAAGCTTACATGCAACTATTGAAATGGCAACATCTTCACTACTTGTTCATACTGCAACATTCATTGTCATAAATACATTTCACTCATATTTAGCTTTTATCAACCTTCTTGTTATGAGCTTTGTTGGACGAACTGACCAAGTTTGTGATCCCAACTAGGCCTTTATTGTTTCCATATTATAACTTTTAATGTTTTGTGTGTCTTCACAAGATTTTAATAAGCATTAGGAGTCTTTTGTAGACAAAAAATCCGTTTTTAATGAATTATTTTCAGTAAAAATTTCTCTGTGAATATATGGAGTAAAAGTTTTGATTGCTCCGAGTGTAGTGATTTTCATGTTAAGATTAAAAATACTTTTCTTCATCTGCACATTCTCAAGTTTCATTAGTGTAATCTCTAAAACCTCCTATATAAAAATGTAAAATATTTTACTTCAGTAAAACTTTACCCTAACTACACTAAATAAATCTAAATTACACATTTTTTTCTAGAATAACTTCAAGTTGCAACATGAAACTATATTTGTTTATCCTAAATAGCTTTAAATTCATAACAGTATACATCTGTTTTTTACTTAAGTTTTATTGTTCTATTACCCTTTTAACTGTGTATACCTAATATTCCCACCACAAAAGTTGTAAATCACTTGGCAAACATGTAACTTACATTACCCTATCAAATTACCTAACACATAGGCTACTCGCAAGTTGCTTGTGAAAATTATTTATTATTATTCTTTATTTTATCTAATCTTTTCCAACCTAAAGTTTCTAATTTTTACATTTTAGTTACTATTATAATAATAAATAAAGAATACATAGGAAAAATAAGAAATAAAGTACTTACCTGGGTCTTTTTTTTTTGCTATTGATTGTTGATGAAACTTAACCTTACTTTTTTATATACTAATGATACTAGTGCACTAAATAAATATTAAATTAATTAATGCTCCAAAAAAACACAGAATAATAACACACAAAAAGCAGACAATGTCCTATAGCTATCAATTTTTCTGGCTTTCTAACTGTGTGACAAGAGCCATTAAAAATTCAGCTAAGTTCTCAATGTGTTTCCCATAGGGATAAAGTTTAAACTGGGAGTGAAATAAATAATTCTTTGTACATAAAACAATGTAATATAATATGTCATTTGATAGATTAAAACTTTGGCTTTCTATTGGTTATAAATAATTTAGTATTAAATGACAGATAGTACTATTGGCAATTTGTGAAAGAGGATGTGACAGATGGGCATGGTAAGAGAGGTCTGATTTTCTAGTTTTTGGCTCTGTAACAAATTCAGATTGAAATCTATAAAGATTATGCTTTGTCTGAACTATGAAAATATTATAATGAGTAATTTATATTAAATTTCATACTTCTCAGAGGGGTGGTAAATAAATTAGATAAGAGGGGATACTTATAGAGCAAATGTCATAATTCCCATACTAGGGGGAAATTAAGGATTTTTTAATATTGCTTTATAAAATTAAGAACTTAAAACTTGATTAATATTAAAATTTGGATTATTAGCTATATTTTGATGCCAAGTTTATCTGTATATACCATGATATTAAAGAATTTAAATTACATTTTAAATGTAACTCAGTAAAATCTTGTGACACGCAGAAAAGGATGCCCATATGGAAAGAGTTAATCTAAATATCATTTAAATTAAAAGCTTTCACAAATCCTCATTTTCATATATAATTGGTTTTATACATCCTATAAATAAAAAGATGTAAAATTTATTCGTACATAAAAACTGTAAGATTTGTTATAAAAGAGTAATTGCATTTTCATCCTCTAAATTTCTGAAGTTAAACCCAACCTGTTTGATTGTTTCTGTGTCCTCGATACCTGTGAACATATTCTGCTCCATCAGAATGCCTTGCATCAAATATGTAAATATCTTCATCATTGTAAGTGGCCAGAATTTCTACAGAATACATATTAGATATTTCTTTTAATGAGAAAACATGACTTATTATCAAGCTTTTCATAAATAAAAGACTAAGAAAACCTAGATACAAGTTGTTTTAAGGACTCATCAACTGGAAACATTCATGTAAATATTTTAATTACAGAATACAATACAAAATTGTTGCTTCACAATTTCTACTAATCAAAGTTTTATTTTTAAACTTATTACAAAATTTGTTGTAGTATCTGGTATTTTCCCATTGAATGGCACCTTATGCATGGGCTAAATGGCCAGGTCAGGGGTCTCTAAAGTTCAGGTACAATTGCACCTGATTTTGAACTACTGACCAAAGGGTTTAGAGCCACCAATAAACACCTCACACACATCAAGAATAAAGGGACTAAGTATTATTCTTATAACACACCCAGAGCTGAAAGGGCAAGAAGTGCTCACGGCCCTGGTGGCATGAATTGTGAACTTTATGCCACAATTCATGCCACCAGGCCCGTGAGCACGAATTGTGAACTTTATGAACCACATTTCAACTTTAAAACCTTAAACTATTATCTAACCTGAAGGTATAAAACAAAAGACCAACCTGATCCATCATAGTTGTACACCAAGCACGTTACATTAGCACGAATATCACTATCAACCTATGAAAGAAAAATTTATTTGGTTATCATGCACCAGAAAAGGAATATTTAATAATAGATGCTCTTAACTGTTTTATGTAAGCAATAGCTAAGTTGTCTGTAAGTTTAACAAAAAAAAGTGAATATTTTAAAAATAATTGAAACTTTAAATTTAAAAATAAAAACAAAAGTAGTTTAACCCATCTTTAGACACTATGATGATGATGCCACTTTCATAAATAATATCTTTAGAAAAATGTCTCCTTTTAGCCAGTCAGCTATAAAGCAATGGAAAAACACAACAATGAACTTTCAAAATAATAGTAAACCAGCTTACAATGGCTGAAAATTATAAATCCAGCAAACTGTCAGATTAATTTTCACATTAGCTCATGGTTTGTGTGCTGACTGTAAATTTTAACTGGTAAAACCTACAAAACAACCAAAAAAAAAACAGACCCCTCCACTTGCATTGCGTAAGTACAGGATATATATATATATACACATACATACACACACACACAGTGCTTGATGTGAGGCGAGATGAGGCATGATGCCATCCTACACTTTTTCAGGAGAGCTTGAAACCATCCTGCTATCTTTTAGTAGATTGTAAGCTTCTCAGAAGTGAATGGTTCAATAGATGATGCAGTAAGTATTTAAAGTGCCAAAGGACTAGGAAGAGAAACTAATTTTTTTCTTAAAATGTTGTATAAGAGCAAGACAATGTAGTACACAGATGAAGAGAACAAACCCTCTTGCTGAGGGCTCAGTTCATAACCACAAAGTAACCATCAGTTTCAATACTATAACCTGTAACAGTATATATCTGTTTCTAATTAATTTTGTTGTTTTATTGCCCTTTGAACTGTGTCTATCTAATAATCCTGCCACACAAGTTGTAAATCACTCAGCAAACATGCAGCTCATATTATGTAAAGTATGAGCTGTTCACAAGTGTACTTTGTGAAGAATTTCTATTATTACTTTTCATTGCCTCAAGTAATTTAAGCCAGTAAGTTTCTAATTTTTACATTTTAGTTACTTTTATAATAATAAATAAAGAATACACATGAAAAATAAGAAATACAGTGCTCAGCTTCACAAATAATTCCACCCCTATTTCAAGCACTGTATGTGTGTGTGTATAAATATATAAATAAATAAGGATCTTGGAACAACAATCATGAAAGAAAATTATACTTATAGAATCCAAACATTTAGGTATTTTCTGTAAGTTTCTTGATTATCTGATATGACTATTCTGTAGATCATACAGACTTAAATATAGTTTGATACACTTTGGTAACCATAAACTATACATTCAATGTATTAGAAATATCTAGAACTTACTAAATGATGTGGACAGAACTTTTTCATTGGCTTCTCTTCACGGATATTCCTCTTGTCATATATACTGAAAACACACACTTTGTCAAGATAAACTTTCAATGCAATGTTTTTAAATTTAACTAATGTTAATTGTGCATTACATTTCACTTTTGAGCTCAAACTAAACCAAAGTTAAAATGATGTATTATTATTATCCTAGTTGCCATAATGCATGTATGTTACAGAAGTTCAAATAAGTATGCTATACAGAAAAAATATCATTAGTGCTTTATTCAAAGGCAAAGAGGAACTACTTTGTGGCTTTACATAGCTGTAATATGGAGAATTGAAAATGAGTAAAAATAACATATAAGAAATTAATGCATTTTTCATCTAAAATGTTCTTTAAAAACATATTAACTTTCCTTAAGTATTTAAGAAACAGAGTTCAGTATTAAACACAAGAATTATCAAATGTTTCCTTTAATATTAAAGTATACACTACCAACTCACAAAGGACAAAGCAAGTAAACATAAAAAATTGGATGAATCACAAATTAAGAAACCTAATAACCTGAACACTTTTGGGTGGCAAACTTGCCTTCTTCTGAAGTTAAATCTTAAACCTTTGTCTTTGATACCCTGCTCCATGAAAATTTCTTGCATTGAATATGTAAATACATGTAACTTCATTGGTGTCTGTAGTAAGAATTTCTACAAAATACATGTTAGATATTTTTTTCATGTTCTTTCTCTATTATAGTACCTTTTAGTAGTGTAAGTGAAAATAAATTTAAAAAATAACAAGAACAAAAACAAAAAAATATTACAGAATTGAAAAACAAAACAAAGACACTTGTAGGTTTCACAAAACCTTCCTTTATTCATGACCATGGTTTCACCAGTAAAGGCATCATTTGGTACAGATTGCACATGATATTGCCTTTACTGGCAAACCATAGATGTTAATAAATGAAATTTTTATGCAACATACAATTGATTTATTTTCTTCTTCAATTCTGTAATTACGGAGTTTCACCAAGTACAAACGGTTTCAAGTATCAACTATACAAATAAATATTAGAAATTTTCACAGCCTAATAAGAAATGTTTCACAACAGGTAACCATACCGTACAAAATGATCTCTTCCTCCAATTGCAAATTCATAGCTGTTGATGGGGTTAGAAAAAATTGTATACAATGCAACCTTCCTGTCATTTTCCTTACACGTGATCAGCCTACAAAAATAGTTTTATGATATATAATACCTAATCATATCACTAGGCATCAGGGACAAGATGTGAAAGAGGTATTAATTATACTGGAAATATATGTGCTTTATCTATATCTGACATCATTTTGCTTTCCATGAACTTGAGATATTTATGTGAAACATCTAATACAGAACTTTTTCATGTTCAAATTTTTCAATCAAACTAAATATATTAATTTTTCCTCTATGAAGAATGTTTAAAGAATATTGCTTCAGTAAATCATACTCTCGTTCTTTATAAAATATAGAGGACATTATTATTAGAGCTGAGTGACAACATTAATGCTATGAAAATTGTGATTAAACTGATTAATGTCCTAAAATAATCAGCTAACTGATATTAGTATTTCTGATTATTAAAACTATATAGTAATTAAAATTCTGGTTTGGTTTGTTTGAATCTTGTTAAATGCTACTTGGGTTTATCTGTGCTAGCTGTCTCAAATTTTGAAGTGACAGACTGGATAGAAGGCAGATAACTAGTAAAAACTACCCATTTTCAACTCTTGGGCTGCTCTTTTACCAAAGAATAGTGGGACTGACCATCAAATTATAACAACCCTATGGCTGAAAGGGCAAGCACGTTCGGCAACGAGGATTTGAATCTCTGACCTGCATATTACGAGTTGAGATCCCTAACTACCAGGCAGTAATCAAAATATTGCCATTATGATTTTTTATTATTATTTTCAATCAGATCAAGTTTAATCAATTAGAATAATGAATCACAAAAATAATTATCTAACTGAAATTAGGGTTTCCAATTACTACTATTTTTTATCATGCAAACTATCAAAATATTGCCATTATGTTTACTTGTTGTTAAGCGTAATGCTACACAATGGGTATCTTTACTCTGCCGACCACAAGTAACAGAACCCACTTTCAAGAACAAGTTTTGTTTCTGTTTTGTATTTTAGCCATCTCATGAGAATGTTTTTTTTTAAAGCCATCTTGTGTGAATTATCAGTTAATTTATTGTAACCGATTAATGGGCCCAGAAGTTACTTGATTAGCAAATTCCACTAATTGCCCAGCAATAATTATAACAATACCTAGAATTTTTGAATATTATTTCAAACAGCACTGTTTTATAATGTTTACTATAAGCTACAATTATAGGTTAGCTAATGTACCATCAAAAGAACAGTTATTATTTTCACATAAATTAACTCTCAATATACATAAATAAAAAGTAATGGTGGTACATAATAATATATATACATTCCAATAAATACCAGATGGTGTACTGGACCCACCAGAAGTGAATGATAAATTAAAAACATTTATGTGTCAAAATAAATTACTTATTATTAACAAGTATAACTACTTGTTATATACCTTATTTTGAAACTTAAAATTTCTCTCAAATAATTTATTCTTAAACCCAGTCTTGGCTAAGCATAATTCCATTAACAAAGACTTTTCCTCTAAGTTTTAGTGAAACTTACTTTATTCAACATAATAGTTGGGTCAGGTGATTATTAAATTTAGAAGGAATTTTACATTTTTAGAATTCAAATGAATCTGAAAGCAGCAGCCTTACCTCTGAAACACTGCAAGTCTTTTCTTGTTGAGTTTGCTCTCATGCTATCAACAAATGTATGACTCAAGTTGTTTAATGCCCTTTCTCTATTGCAGCATTTACCCAGAATTTTCCTCATGACATATAAAGCACGTGTCTGGTGACCTTTCATAAACTATATATACAGGGTGGGCCAAAAGTAGGGTTACAGTTAACTCT